ACAGTTCTTAATTTAAAGCAAATAAAATTAATTTGTGTTTCATTTTTGTACAGCATAAAATGTTTATTGTTATAAATCTACAAAGGCTATTGTTATAATTATTTCTACTGTTTATATTTATATCAGACTACACAGACCAGTTATATCTTTTTCTAGTTAAAAACCACTTTGTTTTTTATGTCACACTTCCTGAAAGTAAATAAATTTTCTAATTTTGTAGCATTGGATACATGAGAATAAAAAAATGCTAATTTGTTTCTTATCAGTTTAAAATTATCTATTAACTTTTCAGAAACTGTTAAAAGAATTATAGGGCAAAGTTAAACTGACCTGAAATCACCCATTTGTTATAATCAAAATAGAAAGTAGGACACTTTTATAGTACACTGTAGGATTACTAGAAATGTTATAAAGGAATAGAAGATATTTTTACAAATAAATTTATTTATTTTAAGTAAAAAAAATTGTGTTTATCATATATATATATATATAATACAATGATATGATATAAGATACAATGATATGATATAATTGTGTATATATATACACACACACATGCTGTATGTATATTGTGTACACACACACAAACTTATAATCAACAATAATTTGTTTTATATTAAACAATTAATTACAAGTAGTCAAATTTTAACAAAACAAGTCTCACTTTTTCAGATTGATTTAATGAATTTTCTAAAATACACATACCATAGAGATTATGTAAGAATTAATTATTGTTACCTTAAAAAACAATGACGCAAACTTATTTTTATAATAAACGCAAAATAAAATGATAGTTTCCTTGAAAGAAATGTATGTTTATATTTAAACTACAAAAGATTTGTATCATATAATGTGCATAAAAATAAACTATACATCATATTATCACACAAAAGGAACAAGAAAGAAAATAAATGTTATTCATGATGTTCCTGTAATAAAAGCAGTGGACAATTAACCTACTCAAATGTCACATCAAGACTAAACCAGAAAACTGCAATAAGGAAAAAATTCCTAAGTGATTACATAATAAGGAAAAATAGCTTGTGTTTTTAATTAAAAATATCTGAAAGTTCAACATCCTAAATTATAACAATCATTATTTAGTAGTTATCAATTTAACACTTTTCTATTAACTTATTATTATGGTTAATTTTGATACCAAAATTGATAATCATAGTATTTTTATTTGTTAATTTATATCAAATCTACTTAAAAAGTTAAAATTTTACTTCCAACATTTAAATTTATTTATTTAATAAAATTTTATTAATTTTTCAATTCTTCAAGTTAATTAATATGATAAATATAATTAAAAATTTTTAAACATTAAATAAAATACTTCAAAGAAATTCCTTTCTTCTGAATTTAAGTGAGAATAAAGTATATAAAAATTATTTACCATAATTATTTTTACTTAATAAATTTTTTTAATTGTTGTTTTTCAATTTAATTATATTTTATTCTAGTTTAAAATTTTATTTTCAATAATGTATGATATGATATATTTTATTTTTACATATTTTTTCTGTAATTTAAATGCAGTCATTACTTCTATAAACAACTCATTTAAAATTTTTAAAACCGAGTATAATTTTCATTATTACATATTTTTATTTATACATTTTTATACTTCTGATTACATTCTTATATACTGTATTTAAAATTTTAAGATCATTGCATATTTTAAAAGAGTTTGATACATAATTCATTAAAAGTGTGATCCTGAGGAAGTAATTCTAGTGATTAAAAATGCTTGATTTCAAGAACGTTGGTCCAGATGACATATTTAAATGTATAAATCAACCTCATAAGAATAATTTCTTCACTTCTAAATATGTCCAATTGCAATTGTTGATTGATAAAAGTAAATCATCACTTATTAAAAAACTTTTNATCTGACTACCCGGCATAATTGGTGACTGCTCCATTTTCATTTTTTTATGGTAGAGTACGGTTATTTTATGCTGCGGAACGAATTATATGTTTTAACACGTATTTCTATGGGAAAATGCGTTTCGTATAACGGACTATTCACTTAACGGACATGCACCTTGAACGGATTAAGTACGTTATACGAGGCACTACTGTATATTAATTATTACTGATGAATTAGATTTTATAATACAACTATAATTAAAATTTTAAATACATCATAAATTTCTAACATTTATATTTAAATAAGAATCTTATAAAAGATTATATAAATTTAAAACAAAAATATTAGGTTATATGTAATTATTTGTGTATTTTCAGATTAATGGTCCAATACTGATATAAATCTGAAGAATAGTAATTGTCAAAGAAACTACAAAATGTCTGCAAAAATTCTCTTAGTTGTTAGTCTGAAGCAAAATAACAATATCAATGTAGGTTTCATCAGACGATCATATTTTAGATAAATTTACTAAAATAAAGTACGACAATAAATCTGAATTTCATATTTAAAAATTGAAAAAACTATTTTATTTGAAATAAATTGAAAATTTTAACTTTTGTACCAAACAATTCGTGAAATATTGGAAATAGCCTGCAAAGTGTTTAGGAATCGTTCACCATGAAACAGAGAAAACCAAAGACCGGCAAACAAGTTAAACTAGTATTGTGTAATTATTTTTTACATAATGCACACTGGTTAGTTCAGTTTAATATTATAACATATTATTTTATTTGTAATATTTTTAGACATTTATATGATTTTAATGAAGATTAAATAGATGATATATTGACATGTTTATAGTAATTGGTAAAAACTCATATATTTTCTACATAATAAGATATATTGTGCATTAATATAAATGTATATATTTATTTTAAAATTCTACATCACATAAAAATTTAAAATTAAGCCATTAACCTAATTTGAAGTAGAGATTTGAATCTAATTAGAAAGCATCTTAGGTTTAAGACAGTGCGTCATTTCTTATTCACTTGACCTATTTTATAGGTTTAATCAGTTTTTGAATTAATAACATTAATAATCGACATATAATACATAAAAATACAGGAGAGAAAGCAAATTGCTAAACCAATTTAAAGTCAAAAGTTTATAACTTACACATATTTAAACCAGAATAAAGAATGATCTTTAAATAAGAGAGATTCTAAGTTTCTGTAACAATAGTAAACTACAAGAATATTTATTTAAATAATTAAATTATATTACTACATATAGTCTGTGGAGTAAAACAAATCTATTCCTGGAAATTTAAATTGCCATCTTAAGAGAACAAATTAATATAGCACATATGTTGAGGATAAATGACTTTTTAAATTAAAACACAAATTATTTTTCTACAGTATTAAATAAAAACAGTAATTAAACAATATTTATGGGAATACCATATCCACTGAAGGCCAAATTATATATCATATTGAATTCATAGATAACTTTTAAATTTTATTTAATTTATTTGGGAAAATTCTACACTTAGGAAATTTTTTTAGAATATGTAACTTGAAACTTTAATATCAGAACTGTTTCAATCATACTTTTAAATACTTAATACTTAATTTGAAATTTTTAAAATTTACAAAAAGAAATTCTAAAAATCATATGTTTACACTGACATTAATTTGTATTACAGTAAATGTAAACATATGATCTTTAAATAAATGCATAAACAGTGTAATTAAACTTGATTAAACTCAAATGAAGTTTCTTTTAATTCAGTTAATAATATATATGATAACTGTAATCTAAAATAGGGATAGATATTCTTCAGATATTAAATTTTTATTGAAATTTAAATTCAGTTATAAACTAATGAATCAATACTATTCAATTAATCAAAAAGCAAGCAATAGTTTAAATATAGTAAGATTTAATAAAAAAAATTTATTTTATATTAATATAAAATCCATTTTATCCTTTAACATGAAATTTTGCATTAATATAAAATTTTAGCACATTTACTTCTTTGAAAACTGGATGTATGTAATGAGAAACCACACAAATATACATCCATATCATTAAATAATTTTATTCCTTTTACTGACTTTGGGTATAATATTTAAATGATTTCACTAACGAAGAATATAATCAAAACACTTAGATGCAATGACTCTATGTTAAATTCAGAGGAACAAATACTAATATTAAGAAATCCAGTTTTTTTGTGAAGATGAGACCAGTTGTCCTAAAAAATGTTTAAATCATGATAAAAATGTAGACTCCTTACTATAAATTTGGGAAGATCTCACTCAACAATCTGAAAATATCTCAATTAACAAAAATCAGCAAACAAGAAAATGAAACAATGGATGAAACAGTCCAAAGAAATGACAGGCATGAAAAGAAGAGACATCTGTTCAAAAATCAAAAATTAATTGAAGTCGAGTTGCAGAAAATCAACAGTATAAATTGTTTTGAGATCAACAGACAATGTTTGTCATCAAAATGAAGACTAGCAACCAACTCAAGAAGTTGGTTGCTAGTCAAACAACTCCAATTACAACAACAACAAACAACTCCAATTACAGTTTGTCAAAAATAACTTTGAAAGAGGAGAAGGATGATGAAAAGTAATCTTCTCAGATATAGAATCTCGACCATCCCAATAGTTTTAAGTATTATTAAGCAGACAGGATAGTAGATCAAAAGCAATACTCAAAGAGGATGGCTGGCAATGCTACACTAATCACCTGACCATTTTATACTGAGGAACTATATTTTCAAATCATATTTTAAAATAATCAAATATGTACAAATTACTTGTCTGCATTTACTCTTTCGATTGTTAAAGTTTTTTTTTTCCTGTAGTATTTTTGTTTCCACTTACATTCCTCTTTTCTACTTATCAATTCCCTTTATGAAAACACTTTAGCCAATCAAATTAGATTTAAGAAAACATTAATGTCATTGGCAATTTTTCTTTCCTTGTACAACTTCATTAAAACATCAATTATAAATTAATTTTTCACTGTATTAAATATAATGAAGCTAATTATACATTCAATTTAAATTGGATAATTTATCTGATTCATAATACTAAAACAGAAATTGGCACTAAAAGTCTCTCATTTGACCAATTTAGTTCTTAATAAGCATTTAATTTATTTATTTTGAAAGATCTTTTTAATAAAAGTAATGCAATTAAATAACTTGATTTCTGCTTTTAATTGTAACTACATAAGTATCGTAATTGTTTACAATGCAATTCTCAGTTTTGCATCCATTCAAATCACTCATGTAAAATGGTAACAATTAGATTTTTTAGTTCTGAAAATTTAATTTCTATTTCATGAAAAACATGAATTGTTTACTAAACAATATTTTTTAATCGTTGATTTATTGATCACCAAGTTCATTTTTTAATGGAAATGATGAATCCCAAACATTATTAAGAATTAAATTAGAAATCAATTCCAAGAAAAGTATAACTAAATATATAACAAGAATCTAACAAAAATTAGTTCAAATAAAAATTGGTTTGAAACAGGAGGATTTCTGTTTCCATAGCAATAAAATGAGGACACATCAAAGTGAAGGGGTGTGGCACCTGTTGCCACCTGCAGAAAACTGTATATACATATTAAATAAAATTTTAGCATTAAAATAATGAAATTGCTTTTTGCCTAAATCATATGGTGTCTTATTCTAGGATTCTTTCTTATTCTAAATTACATTCTATATTTTTTAATGTATCATTACATGTACTACAAAGTTTAATTTTCAAATATCTACAGAAAAGCTATTAATTTATATGCAACAAATTCAGGATCTACAAAACAAAATTAATATCAAATGTTGACAAACTGTCAGAGTTAATTTTATGTTTCTTCTAAATTATTATTCGATAATCTTTACAGTAAAACAAAATTTTATTTCCATATTTTCATTTAACTAATTGAGATCGGATAAAAATAGATTTTACTTCAATATTTTATTTTTATTAATTTATAAATTGAATTATATGCTCTTTTTAATTTGCTTAATTTTATTAAATCACTCAATCTAATTAAATTATGTTAATTAATATCAAATGATTTAGTTACAACTTTTTTAGAGAATCATATTGTTATAGCCTAGTTTGTGAAAAAATAATAATTACTCCTTTCAACACAAAATGAACAAAATATTTTGTATCGGAAAAAATTATACAGAATTTGCAAACTTCTGTTTCTCTAAGAAGGAATCTAGAGTTCTGAAAAAATTTTCTAATAAAGCTATATTTTGTATAGTTCCTTGTCAATTCTTCCCAAATCAATATTTGGGAAAGACTTTCCCAAACATTGACATACATTAATAAAAAGCATGACATGCTAAAACAAAATGTCTCTATCAAAGGGCAGGAGTCACTCACTTCTTGCAGTTACGATGAGTACCTGTTTGGCACGAACCAAGGTAACCTACAAATTTGGATATTTTGCATTTATTTGTTTGTGAATTATAACCAATATATTGGGTTCAGTTCTATCAGAATCACACTATGTATTAAATATGCCAATTATCAATACTCAAACTGAGGTTGATGATTTGTTTGTTTAAAATTCTATTCTATATTTTTCCATTCTACAATTCAAATGTGGTTCTGTTCTTTCGTAACTAATGATGGTCTAATAAGGACTGAAAATGTTTCTAGATCAATGAATGGTTTTGCTTTCTTAATAAGCAGATATTTTGACTTTACATTTAAATATCAAGCTGAATTTTGTTCATTTTAAAAATTATTTTTTTTAAGAAAATAAAATTTAGTAATATAACAATCTGCTATGATATAAATTAATCTTTATATGGCTATTTATACAATAAAGTTTTTATTGTATAAATAGTCATATAATGCAATCTTCATTAATTATTTACATTTTAAACTTTCAAAATATCAAACATTAAATTTGGCATAATTCTACATTTATGTTTTTCTGAATATTAATTATTATGACTCATCAAAGAAAGTCAAAGAATAAATAATCTATATATATAAAAACGAATGTATGTCTGTTCGTCCTTCAGGCATTACTACACCATTTATCCGATTGCCATGAAACTTTGGGAAGTTGTTTAAGACACTCCCGCAAAGGTTTCTGGCATAGTACATTTATCCTATGATAGGTGGCACGCATATATATGAGCATCGTGAGCATTTCAGCACGGTTAGGAGTTGAAACTTGAAATTTGGTACACAGTTAGTGTGCATTCTTGTGACATACCCTAAGAAGAGATTTTTCGAAAATCCCCCCTGCAAGGAAGGGGTCAGGATTAAGGCTTCAACAATGGAAGTGTTAAGAATGGAAGTGTTAAGAGAAAACAACATGCAAGATTTACAGGCGCAGATGCGGTTTTTTGCGTTTTTGCGGGAAATTGAACATAATATTACATCCATCTAAAAATTTTCTAATTAGTCTAGAAATAGGGGAACCTAATTCTTGCATTCTGTGAAAACGGGTAAGATTGGCAGTAATGTAAGAATCTTAATCTTCACTATCATTACTTTTTGCCCAAGCAACATCGGGCTCATCTGCTAGTTGAAAATAATTTAGAAATTTTTATCTCAAAAAATTACATTTTCTCCAATATTGCTGTATTGCAGGCATTATACTGTGCCTAAAAATTTAAATCAACCTATAGAAATCATCAGCATATTCACAAAATAAGTAATTATTATAACACAACATTAATCCTGATAATTTGAACTAGTAGTGTCAATTAATACTTTAATTTTAAGTATACATAAAAGTTTTCTTCAACATCATGTTACAAACTTCATAAATTTCAAAATTGGCAAAACATAAATAAATACAATAAAATACACTTTGTATTTAATAATATTCTCATGTCACGACTAAATTTATCAGAATTTCACAGGATTTACTCTATTGAATTATGAGAATTACCCCATTCAAATGAATGTTTTTATATAATATGTATTTAGTTATTTTTAATATAAAATTAGCTGAATTCTTTGTGTGTATACATAAGAATTTCAATAAACAGTTTTAATCATCATCATAATTTACTATTCTTTATAATTAAATGGGTACTTATGTTTCTGCTTTCTTAGAAAGTTTTCCCCTCTCTTGAAATCAAACTCACATCAACAC